ATTCAACTCTCAACATGAAAGCTAGTAAGCATATATCCTAAAATATGGTACTGGTCCATCAACATAGGACATTCAGATAGTGCTTGAAACAATGTACTTCATGTAGGCCTACATGACAGCTGAGCATGGATCAAGTCTTTTTTTTTGGCATGTAGCTGAGTGAGAGGCTTCCTTGCTTTGTATAGCAGGAAACCCAAATGATAAATATATAAAGGACATTTGGGTTGAGTTTTGCAGTGGGTTGATTGGTTCTATGCATTGGCCCTTCTGTTGAACTGTGGATAAGGACTTGCTATGAGGTGGATGTTGTCTTACTTTGCCTGATGACTTGATGCCTCTGATGAGCGCTGCTGCAACAATCATGGAGCTCAGCAGCAGACAGAGGGCCAAGTGCCAAACTACTGGTCCTGTTTCATCCAGACCACTGGATCTCTGCAGAGCCACGTGACTGAGGAGGAGAGACGTCTCACTTTACAGCCACAGCAATATGACAAGTGTGTGTATTTGTGCTTTGGTTGCTCGAGTATGTGATTCTTACTCCCAGTACTGCTCACTCGGACTCTGCACTGGAACTGTGATCATATTGGATGAAGGACAAGTGCTGTTTTCCTGAGTCAAGTTGGCCACTAAAACACCACTTACATTGCAGTACACTAGAAAAGAAAACCAGAAAAGGTCTATGTAGTGAGTATTTCCATGCATTCATTTTCTAGAATGAATAAATGATTTTATATTTTTGCTTTGACCTGAAGTAGCGCATAGAGCCCTAGTGCTCAAACTACAGTTTCTATTTTAGCATGCTTTTAAATCTTTCATTTATGTCACAATATGTCATCTTGTCATTATTCTTTTTATGTCACCGCTACCTCAGGAGAATGACACATCAGCTTCCAACAAACGGCAGATTTGAGCCACACAATACAACCAAAGAATTGGAAATGAAAAAGCACCAATAGGAGTGTTGCTACAGTTGCTGTCAGCCCAACTGAGGCAGCTGGACCACGGCAGAGGAGACTGGAAGGAGGCGAACATGTAGTACAGGCTGTAAGCGATGATGACATTGTAATAAATTGAGACTATTATCGTCACCATGACCATGGCAACGCCAACACCTGGAGAGGAAGAAAGGGGGATTATAAATAACAAATAAAATGTACTCTCGTTACTGTAACAAAAATTGGGGATTTTTCTTTTTCGTTTTGTACTTCACTACATTTTAAGTTGCATCCATTATAGATTAAAAACAAAAGTCACATAAAGAGTCCTGATGAACTGAACTGAACAGAAGATGTGAGATAAATCAAACTGCATCAGAGAAGAAGCTGCAGGTGGAGAGTTTCAAGCGCTGTTGTGCCCATAGCTTGTTTAAAGCTGTAATTAATCTTTTACCTTTAGTTTGGATGATTATGCGTTGGCCTTAAAGGGTCAAAGCCTTAAAATCAAACAACCAAAAGCTTCTCTGAAGTCAAGAGTCATAAAAAAGACACATTTTTGCTTCCACAGTCAATCATTAACCAACAGCCTCATTAAATTCCTCATGTTTGACATCTTTGTTCTCAGATGTACCCGAGTGATCTTTCACAAAATGTGAATGTTAGTCTTACCCTGCAGGATTGGTACTGATCTCCATATGTTAATTGGACCTTGGCTGCAAAACTGTCCAAAGGCGCTTTCCAGGAAGAAAAGGGGAATTCCAGCAACCACCAACATCACAAAGTAGGGGATAAGAAAGGCACCTGCTCAAAGAGACGCATTAAAAACAATATCAACAGTAATAATATCAAACAGGATTTCCAACACTAATGCATTAGACAAGAAATACTTACCCCCTCCATTCTTGTAAGCCAAATATGGAAATCTCCAGATATTTCCAAGTCCAACAGCATACCCGATCGTAGAGAGGATATACTCCTTCTTGCTGGCCCAGTTCCCACGCTCAGTATTCTCATCGCCATCATCCACATGTGGATCCTATTGAAAAGTTAAATAAGTTATTAAAGCGGTAAAAGTTGTAAAATGGCTCAGATATTGTATGTTGTACCAAATCTTAAGAAAAACACCTGCAGTGAGAAAAGTACATTTTAGAATGACGCAATACAAATTTCTGCAATGCGATATGATAATGTTTGACAACAATACAGATATCATAGGACAGTGTGTCTCAGCTGTGTGCTGAAACCCATTTCACTGTTGATCATCTTGGCTTGTCATATATAATCTGTTTTCATTGTGAAATGTTAAGATTGGATTGTTGTGGTTTCAGCACGAAAAACCTGCAGTTCAGTCAAAAAGTGAAATTGGCTCCATCACCCCCCATTACGAGGCATTTTCTAAACTAAAACAGAAAACATGGTATTTTTCTAAATTAAATACCAAATTAAGTGAAAAATGTTTTTTGTGTTCCTGAGTTGATTGACATTTGTCTTATTAATCAGAAATACAAACAATTTCCAAATTCCTCAGTCTTGTTCAATGTAACTGAAAGTCTGGTCAAACAGGTTTGCAATCCTACCTGGTCGACGGCAGCAGAATTTCTGAAAAATAAATCCTTGAAACTGTTCCAGCTGTATTTCCTCATGTCCTTTCACCTGCTTGTCATCTGTTAAGTAATTCAAATCAGTCGGGTTGCGCTGGTTTAAAGCCCCCCTGACAGACAGTGGAGTGATGTTTTTAACCAATCACCTGACCCGTACACTCCCCCAACAACACTGCTGAGCTGGTTGTGTTTGTGCAAATAGTCTTTTTAAACTGGAATCATTGTTTCATGCACATTAGTAAATGAAGTTCTCCTCTGGATGACATTAGCGACTAAACTATCCCCATTCAATGTGATATAGAGCTGGTGAGTGTGGCTTTCTGCATTATGTCAGTATTTCTGACCCTGATATTTCCTATGACGCTCTATTATCATTCTGCAAAAATAGACCTATCTGAATGTGATTGCTCACCTCAGATTGTGTTAGGAGTGATAAAAACATTATATCCTCTGAATTGATAAATAGACAAAAGAGTGGAGCCGTGACAGCCACTCAATGTTCACACTCTGTGTGTGTGTGTGTGTGTGTGTGTGTGTGACTCAGGTGAGGGACTCTAACCACGTCTTAACAGCTGCTCTCTAAAGCCTTATGACTGATGATGGATAGATCTCATTTTGGTTGGTGACATCTACACATAATCACTGCGCTGTTACCATAAGCACATCTGTGTCACTCGTAATCACCACCTGATGATGACCATAACCATGTCAGATCACATGACTGAAAAAGTCCTGCTTCACCCAATAATCAATGGATTACAACACCTATTAGACTTATGGTAATAGTCATAGACAAACCACTGGAAACCTGTAATATACGTCAGTTTTAATGACGGTATCTGGTGGCATGTGGCCACAGATTACAAAACATAGTGATGGAGGAAAACATTACAGACATCCTGTGTCCTGTGACGATCCCACCTCTGACCAGCTGACACACAGAGGGTGCAGCACTGATGAACAGGACAACTCTGCCTCCTGCAGCTGGCCTGCAGGTCAACCTGATGATTCATGTATTACCATGCAATCACCTCACAATCTAAATAAAATAAGTCTTCTCACAGATATCATGCCATGATTGTAGGTGTTTTTTTTGGTGTTACTGAAATATATTTAAATCTCTACAAAGATTCTTGTCCTTTAGAAACATTTCTGCATCGACCCCCCACAGAGTCATAGTTTGCAATCATTTCAAATATTACAATTTGCTTTTGTGGAATTGTTGAAAAGCTTTTAATTTTCTCTTGCACTTCATTGCTTATATTATCCTATTTGTGCCGACATCCTCTTAAGAGCAGAATGTAGCGGACATCCACAGAATTCTCTTGATAAAACTGAAATGTCTTTACAGTCTGAACTAATACACTTATTTCAGGAACTGCTCTCAGTAACATATAGGTCAATTAATGGTTGAACCCTCAATTTACCATGTGTATGAACAGACTGATAACACTCGACACTCAAATCATTAACGCTGAGGCTACCATGTTTATGACCCCATTTTTCCAGGTTTACGAACATCCACATTCCTGAGGACACAGAGACGCATCTGATTGTAATAAACAACTTAAAGAAATATTTACTTGATATGCTAGTCTTAGTAATTCTTTGTATTTCATATTTTTAATCTACCTCAGAGTAACAAACTCAATGTATTTGTAAACCATACACAAATTGACTTTCTTAACTGTTTGTTTGCATTTTTTCTTATCTTATTCTGTAGCCATACACAACTCATCTTACTGACTCACGATACATATACACAACATGTGTATAGACACACAGTCTGCATAGATTAATTGGGCAAGCTTGATGTTTACTAAATCTTCAAATTTGAAACATCTGAGTTTAAGTTATGCATAGTTAGGGATAACCAACTGCTCTGCCTGCAACTGTGATATAAGAGTCCAAACAATGTTTGGACTCCTTCAGGTTTTTTCTTTTCCGATGCACTGGCCTTTATTTGCACCGCTGGTGCATAAAGATCAATTTGGTTAGAGAGGACTGACCCTCTAAATCTTCTATAGAGTCCAAAATTACTTTCCTGACATTCCACCTCACAAACAACTTAGATGTGGAGCAGGAAGTCACCATCTCCAGTGAGCAGAAGACCTGTAGTCTTTGAACATTCTCATAGTGTAGGCATTAATGTATTCTAAAGTTATGTTGTATAAAATTCCTCATATCCTTCACATTAACCTTTGAGATAACAAGTGCCTGTGTGTATTTAACAGCGTCTATGAGTTTTAATTCAACAGATGGCTGCATCAGTTCAGTATGAACAAAAGCTGACTCAGTCTGAAACAAACTATATTACAGTGCTCCTCTGTTTCTTCTTCTTGAATCAACACTTAGTCCATAAAATCACTCGATCAAACCCACATCACACACATACACACAAAGACAGTAAAACACAGATAACTACAAATACCGGATGTACTGTTAAAAGACAAAGTACAGTGTGTTTTTGTGTTTTTAATCACAGCTTTTATTTATTCTGCAATAGGCTTGTAAACCTAAAACATTTGTCAGCATAATAACCATCTAAGTAAATCATACAGTAACTCAAGAATCCTAATTCATTCACCCGATGCCCATCATGCTGTATGTGTGATTCACTACAGTAAGGGTATATTTTGCACAGAGATACCAATCTATGTTCCTAAGGAAAGTTGATTTCTCTGTGAAACAAGAGGATCCTCTACAGAAACAAACACTCACAGCATTTTTGTCACAAAGAAAAAACAATGTACCCAACTGCAATAAGGTATCGATTTGGGAAATGGTCGTCGGAGAAGTGATGAAGATATCGTCACGCTTCTAGGACAGCTAATGATTTGAAATAAAACAATTCACATTATACATGATACATAATGTTCAGCTTATCAAACAAAACAATGGAAGGCATGCTTTGTAGGAAGAGAGATTAAAAACAGCAAAAAACATTGATTAAAAAGATAATTGATCCTCACAGCAACATATAAGGAGGATCAGGGTCAGATCATTTTCAATACGCAGAGAAGAAACATATGTGGCTTCTACGGCTATCGTATTATGCACTGTATTATGTATTATTATGATAATGCCGTCCTGACCGACAGCGTCAACGTAGAAGCACAGCACCTACCCTCCGGTTCTCCCTCAAATAAACACTTTTAGCTATGTCAGCAATTTTGCCGTAGTTTGCACTGTTAGCTCTGTTAGCACCGTTAGCTGGCCGTCAGCATGTTGAGAGCTGTCGAGAGGCAATCGAAATGTCCCCAGTCTCAGATTTTGCAGATATAATGCTTGTCATCAGTGCTCCCGGGTCAGATTCTTGAGGGGTGCAGACTGTCTGACCCTGCTGCAGTAAAATTAGATTTTTTTCTAAATGGACTCAAGTGCTCTGAAACTTAAGTCCTCAGGGACTGCCAAAATCAGCACAAAATGAAACTTCATTGTCGTAGCTTTAATCAAGTAAAACGAGACTTGGCCATTTGTCCAGATGTGTGAAGGAAACTCATTTAAAGTTGAACTTGTTTGTTTGCCCTGGGAAATGTGAAATATCTGCAATACAGCTTCTCCAATTGCTGTAAAACATGTAAACAACCACACATGACAACCTTTGCCTTCACTGTGATGTGAATAGTAAATCTTGATGTAAGAATTGCTGCCACCCGCTGTTGATATTGGCTATATATATTATTAGATAGCTGCGTTTGTGAGCACAGTTAGATCTCAATGCTGGAAGTCAGGCGCAAGCAGAGGGTTGACTCTGTAGGGATGTCCTGGCGACTGATCTCATTCCCATCCAGTCGCAGCGTCCGGAGCTTGGAGAAGTTGGTCACATCCACAACGCTGCAGAAACTACCCAGAGTGAACTCTAATGGGGCAGATGGGGAGGTGGTAAAGAACGCATTTGAGTCTTCCCAAAATATTCTAAACATCCAACAACTCAGCACCTCCACAATATATCAGTAAGAAATGAAACTGCTGCTACAAGTGGTCCAACTTATTTTGCTATAATATTAAGTATTCATGAATAAATATGCAAAAATTGTATAGAGTTTTCGTAAAAAACATCCTTAGTGAATGTTTTGACAATCTGCTTCATCAGGACTGTGTGTGTGTGTGTGTGTGTGTGTGAGTGTGTGTGCGTGTGTGTGTGTGTGTGTGTGTGTGTGTGTGTGTGTGTGTGTGGTTCGATCAGATTTGATTGACAGTGGCCTGGAAAAATCATTAAACTGTCTTGTTTTTTATTTACAACTGTTGCTAAATCCTTATTGGTGCATAGAAGCATTTTACAAAAGAGCCCCGTCCACATTCCAGTGTGAGTTTTATGCAGAACTCGATTGCTCATAGAATCTGATTAAGAAAACACCTGTATTCACTTTACCTTTGATCTGGTTGGCTTGCAGATAGAGATGCTGTAGTGTGGTGCTCACTGGAGGGATTCTCTCCAGTTTATTGTAACTCAGGTCCAGCTCCACCAGCCCAGTCACATTGAAGGTGTTGGCAGGGATACCCTTGTCTGTTAGCTGATTGTGAGCCATCCTGATGTACTGCAGCTGAGTGAACCGGCCCATGAAACCCTCGGGTAGAGAATCAATGGAGTTGTACTCCAAGTAGAGCTGGTGCAGATGTTCGGGGAGTGCCTCTGGGACCTGGGATAGGAACACTGTGATAGGATTGCAGATTCACTTCATGGGACACTCGCAAACACACAGATACACACAATTACCTTCGTCAACTTGTTGCCACTGATCTCCAGCAGTGTGAGGGATTTGAGTGCCGTCAGTGACGTGCCCATGTCTGTGACCGCGTTGTCGTGGAGATACAGGATGGTGAGGTTATCCATTCCCTCCAGGTCTGCAGCTATTACCTAGGCAACAGTAGAAATAACACTGAAGTCTAATGTCTGTGACGTGTACGTCCAAAACATCAAAAGAGAACAGAGACGCGTCAATATCAAACTATGCCAAACGTTACCTTTTCAATCTTGTTGTGGTCGATTCTCAGGTCTTGCAGGGTGCGAGGGAGGTTTGAAGGAAAGGAGGTCAAGTTGTTGTGCTGCAGATATAAACGCTCGAGTCCCTTCAGCTGTAGAAATGCCTACAAAAGGATTTGGAGAATGAACACCAGCAGAAGATAAAATAAGATAATCTTTTATTAGAGGATTACAGCAGCAGAGTGGATAGTGCAAACAAGAGATAAATGTATCAAAACAAGTATTATAAATATGTAATAAACACTAAAGAATATTAACTAAGTAAAAAAAGTAAAAATCCACAATAACTCAAATATAACTATAACTAAAAACTAAACATATATATACAGATGAATAATTGTTGTATTGTACGGTGTATTTATAGTGCACAGATTATTTTGTGTTTGGTGGTCTACTGGGAGCAAAGCTCATCCACGTAGTATTCATTATTAAAAGATATATTTAAAAAAAAGGTCTTTGTGGAAATATCAGAATCAGTGTTTGATTGCTCAGCCTGCTAGCTGCTGCAAAAAGTAGTTCACATGCAATGGACACTACTTTTTTCGTTCCATTGTGGAATTTTGTGGACACTCGGGGCTCAACACCAACTCTCAAAAGAAGTCGCCAGGCTGGAACCAGGCGTCAGCTTTTGGTTGCTGAAACTGAAAATATAGTTGCTATTTTTAGACACCTTACATTTTGAGTAATCAAGATACTGTGCAGTTATACCTCAGCTTATTAATGAAAATATTGCAATTGGCAAGTGTTCATCGGCCTGTGTGCCAGTTCTTGCAGCCTTTTCCTCATTATGTCGTTGAGCTGCTCACTCTTGTTGCCTCGAGCTCCAGTGCTCGCCTCGCCCTGTGGTTCTGTGGGGTGTGCTACATTGAACTAGTGAATTTTGATGTATCACTTATGAAGGTGTTGTGCACTCTTTGCAGTATGATTTTCCATTCACAGAATTCACAAATTTTTTTGAAGTTTTTTGTTCGGGTCTTTGTCAGTATAATCAGTTGTCACGTTTGTTTGAGATGTTGACGGGTTTGTCAAACTTTTCAGGCCACAGTCAAAAAACTTGCTTCCCCATTCTCTAAAACAGATGCCTGTGCGCTTGTGAGTAAATTCACCAATGCATATGCAGCGTTGTCTGGTTCGAGTTCTGACTGTAACTGCAATATTTAAAAAAAGAATTAATGCAGCAAATATTAAAGTAGTATTTATTTTGGGGTTTTTGCGGTTTGCTGTCCCTATTTGTATATTTTAAAAAGTGGTTACCACTGAGTGTAACCAAAGACCAAGAGTTGAGCCCTCGCACTATATGGCAGATAAATTTACACATTCGGACACTCAAATAAAATGGCGTACAGTAAATGTAGTGCATTATAAAGTAATAGGGAGTGGTTTTGCTTAATTCAAAAATGTGATTGGCTGTATGGAGGACGAAAACTAAAGGTATCATGATGGATTAATACAAAGGCAGCATAAAACCAAAACAAAAATGTCTCCTGTTTTTTTTTGCAATGTGATTTACTCAACACACATGTATGCTGAGCAGAGAAAAAAAATACAATTTGAATTAATTTCAGATGGACTTTAAACTAAGAGCCACATGTCCAAATGCAGAAAAGGCCCACCTTATGCTACATCACATAAACCTTTTGTAACATTACACTTAATTAGTCATCTGACAACCATTTAGACCAGCATTACCGTTTCATGCTGTGAGCTTACATGTGTGGCTGGACTGAGACCAGATGTAAGTTTACCTTCTCGCCAATGGCGTCAGATGTCAGCTGGTTGTAGTGCATCATGAGCCACACCAGATTGATTGCATTTACTAGAGCTGAGTCGGGTATAGCAGTGATGGCATTGTTTTGGAGGTACAGGTATTTCACGCGGGAGGGGACGGTTGGCATGGCTGTCAGGCCCCGCCCATCACAGTACATGGCGACTGGGAAGGAGGGGGGGCAGTCACACTCATCTGGACAATCCCCTCCTGTGCTGTCTGCCTGCAGGGAGCCATATCTTTGGCTCTGAACGCCGTAAAGCCAGGCGAATGGGTCCCGTCCGTGGGAGCAAGAGAGTGGCAGCAGGGCAGACAAGAGGAAGACAACCACCACACGCATGGTCACAGTCACACAAACTTTCACTGTAATCTAACAGAGACAAAGACGGAGAGACAAAGCAACACAATTCAAAATAGAAATAAATTAATTCACACTTTGTTAATTGGGCTGTATTGATTCAGAGTGTTGACTCAGCTCAGAGTAAACTGACTGTGTTCTTTTGCCAACTCTTTGTATCCTCTTAGGGAAAGTTTATGGGCTAGAGGTGGATTTGCATAAATAGATGAATAAAATGTTGTTTAAAATCATAACTTTATAGATAAAGATGCTTGATGACCAGCCAAAGGCACCGTGCAGACTTGTTTTAGAAATGTAACTGCTGTAGAGAGGTACATTCCTGGTGGTCTTAATCCACAGGGAATCCAGAGAGGAAGCATTAAAAAAAGAAAAGAACTAGCCATGAATGCCAGCTTTGTTAAAGGTTCTCACTGCTGCCCCCAAATTGTGGGAAAATATCCAAAAATTACCCTCTGATTTATAGATAATTAAAAACAGCTCAAACTAAAATGTTACTCGATCATCACATGTTTATTCATCTCCTATAAGGTTTCATAGGTAAATACCACAGAGCCAGACAGACAGACACATGTTCACACACATGCACGAAGGCAAACAAACACACACACACACACCTACCTGATCACACAAGGTCGCCCTCGTTGTCCCCTCTCTCTCACAGTTTGCTCAGGACTGAAGGGGACTCTGACAAACACTTTGTACAAAAAAAAAACTTTCCTCCCCTCCCTGCTCTTCTTTATGTTCTGCCCCCCTCTCCAGCCCTCTCTCTCTGTTCCTTTACTGGTTCCTTCCACCCACCCATCCACCCGCCTGCACCCCATTTTGTTAGCTCAGTCATGGCCCAACACACCCCACACCCCTTTCTGGAGCCTCTTTCTCCACTAATGTGAGCACATTCAGTCTCTTTCAGCTGAACCCCACCATTTCTTCAACAGTTAACATTTGCACCTTTGCAACCCCGTCTATTCTTGTTACAGATGAGTGTGTGTGTGTGCATGTGTAATTTGGTTTTACACATGTTACTGTGCATTATGCATTTTTGATGAATAATAGTCAATCTATTCCCATGCCAACATGCCAACATGCCTGACAGTGTGAAAAGTGTCTGTAAAGGGCCATGTCATGGTTAAAGGGGATATAGTAATATACTACACAATACAAAACTACTACAATCAGAATAATACTATGCAAAGAAAATAGTTTCTTAGCTTTCAAACATTAATTAGAGTGACTGATAATAACAAAATAATATATCCAAAGCCTCTTCAGCCCACTTGGCAAACATCCCAATGCCAGAGACAACGTTTTGTAGCAAGGGTTGCTCTAACTCTCTCCATTCCTCTGCAACAACAGTACATATTGTAAAGGGTTAAATGAAAACATGTGTGAAAGTCTGTATGGTCTTAATGCGGGCCTCTTCCTGCCTCTGCATCTTTCCTCTGACGTAATCTCCATCTGAACAAGCGTTATCCCTTTTATCTTCTCTCCATCTCCTTCTCTGTATGTTGTTATTGTGGGACACATTTTTACAACGTGAGAAGGGAAGAGTAGTGTGATTGTTTAATAGACAGCCAAACATGTTTGCACAGGAGAATGGTCTGTCCGGGCTTTTATGCATTTTAAAATGAAATGTTTAACACATGGCATAGTCTGTGTGAAAACTGACTGATGGTTGAACAAAAGCAGTACAGAAAATAATTGTTTCCTTTTGGTGTACCATTTCATGTGGAGTAAAAACCACTGCCTTGTGTTTCCTTTAGAGATCCACATATACTATGTTCTCCATCAATGCATCTTCTGCATGTTTCATCCTCATGTGGTGTAATAAACAAGGAAAGACCTGTGGCTGTGAAGTTGGCACGTCAAATGTGTAAACAAACACTAGTTGAGTTGACTAAAGCACAAGGAAGAGCTGTGGCCCGACGACTCTGCCCTGGATCTGTCACTTTCTTTCTGAGAGTTAGATTTGAAGATCAATACCAGTTAGTGATGCAACTGATCCTAAAGCTCAGCGGAAGCTCTAGTCTACGCCATCTTTTTCTGCAGAAGTATAAATTAGGCATGAGGATGAGTGCAGTATGATTCATCAAACAGATGGTGACATAGGCCGTGTTTTCTCCTGGCAGGCTGAGGAAATGCTGGTCGATGTTGGAGGAAGGCTGAGTGCAAATGCTCCTCCTTGCCACGCGAAGGGATACAGGCAGCTGGAATCGACTCATACGATCCAGAGATATTGGGGCAGCCATTTAATTTGGATTGAAGTTTTGCTGCTGCTGTTAAAGTGAGAGCTGGTCGTCGATAAGACTTATACCGTTTTGAATCTGTATTTCTGCTGTGTACTCATTTAGTTGCTTGGTGTTGACTTTCGTTTAAAAATGGTTACCGTGAGGTTTTAGCCAAGCTTCTTCCCGTTTTGTGGGTGGGCAGGATGAATATGTTGCTACATGTCCTTATCATGGGGTTTGTTGCGAGATTGACAACTGCCCCCCGTACCGGGAGCGCTCGGGTTTAATTTAATAACGCGGTGGCTTTAGTAGCCATAATCATAAACCGTATCCAATGAATGTGGATCACTCTGACTCTGAACAGTTTAGTGATTGCAAAGTCTGGTACACTGGTAGTCAACACTTAGTTTAGTTAAAGTTAGCTCACTACATTACATTATATTCCGTTGGGGCCATGAGACAAAATCCGACCAGCTGAGACGACGGCCTTCCTTTGACTGTTGGAGTCCACTCTGCACTCTTAACTGCTGCAAACCTTTTCTGACATCTTTTTCTTTCTAAAGGCGACGTTAGAATGAAATATTCCTGTCTCCTTTTTTCTTGTCACATCACACTGCACAGGGTGGGTCATCGGTGTTTCAGCTGTAACCGCTGTAATGAGAGCAGTGCAGAAAGGCATCCATAAGCTAACCAGTGGGGCACACTCACATGCACTCACATGCACTATAAACCACATGCAGCCGGCCCTGCTATGCCAACAACACACACAGAGGGAGAGTGACTTCACTCTCTGCTCAGACATTACTCCACTAGACCTTTACATAGCAAATAGTTGTTTGCTGCTTTATTAATGATCTGAATATCAAATTTAGCGCATTTAGTGAAAACTTAAACAGTGATATGAACCAAACTGTGGCTGAAAAATCGTGGGCTGAACTGAACTGTTGATTGTTAAACCCATAGCATATTTCCCAGAATGTTGAAATATTCCTTTAAGCCTGTTATGATGCTTTGAAAATTTGTCCAATTAAGGGCTACATCATCTTGGTGCTCGACCAAATAATAGTCCTGTCAACATTTATCATAACTACAGTAAGAAAAGGCTAGTGTGCTAGTTAAACTGGCATAGTGCCTTCAACATGTTATTTAAGGTGGTTGTTGTATGTAGCCATTGTGTCAAACGTCTGGCAATAAAAGGCTTCAAAGATCAAAAAAGGGAAGAAAGCAGCATCCAGATGGCCACATTGTATTTAAGCTGATCTGGAGAACTGGGGTGAGGAATTTAGAAGGCCAAGATTTTGATTGTTGAAGCTTAAAGTCAGGAGGATGAGTACTAGTACTCTAACCTTGTAAAACACTACACCAGTCATATTTATTTTAGATGTGATTTTATGGGTAATGGACTCAACACAGCCTTATTTTTCATCTGTGAGCTGAACCGGATGAACTCCGACCCTTCACTCATCACTGAGGACGGACAACATTATGAACCTTTATGAGGTTAATACCTCTTGCAACATAACATCAAAGGCCTGAGGGGGTTAAATAGATCAAGTATGATGTGTATGTGTGTGACAGAAAGACACATATCGACATGTAAAAAAACTATAAAGAAGTGTAAAAGAGCGAGAAGGAAAGGGTGCATCACTTATCGGTTAGAGCGAGAGAAATTGATTCTCTGCTGACCAGGACTTCAAAGGCCCAGGTTGACTCTGCATAGCACCCAACACTAACCTAACCCCCACCTATGTGTGTCCCCCCCGTCTTCTGTCTGGGTCATGCGTAGAAGATCAGAGGACCAAACCCTTTCCACTCAGGCTGTGAACTCTTCATAGGAATGTCACAGGAATGTTCATTCTGAAGGTTGCTTCTCTTGTCACTCACCTGCAGAAAAAACCCAATATGAAATACTTAAAACTGTATTAACATCTTCCCACTCTAGCTTTCTCTCTATTTCCAGAATGAAAGCAGGTCAGTAATAGGAAATTCAAATTTTTTTTAGGCCGTCGTTCTGGATTAAATGGACTAAATGGTCTTATTATGTATGCATGGCAGTCAGATGTCCTTTCATCTTCTACAGAGTCATGTGGGATTGATTGATTTTTTTGAATAAGAAAGTGCAGTGTTGCTCTTTCTAAGAATGATGTAATGTTGAAAACATTTTTTTGTGTCTTTGGAAGAAGACACAGCATACAAACCTCAAACTAAATATTTTCAATTTAATCATGAATTAACAACTTTGTAAATTATTACCAGCTCATGGTGCAGTCTGTGGCAGTTTCTCTCTCTCTCTC